AGGAGCGGTGCTTTCTGTCTTGTCTGGTCCTTTTATGACTAGTGTCCCCGACGGTGCGAAGATGCAGTTGTGGTCCAGTACCGCACCGAAGAACCAGGTTAAAAATGGTGCGTTCTATACCCCAGCGGGGAATGGTAAGGAATACACGCAAGCGATACTGAAGAACGATAAACTTGCGAATGAGCTATGGGAATGGACTGAGAAGGAGTTTGCTAAGCATGGGTATTAGTTGCAATCTTTGTTTAACCGTCTGAGCAAGATTCATTCATTTAGCGCGTCTTGAGATACCGACTTGTACTTGTATAGAGGGATGGCGATTATTGTTTGTCATTTAGTGAAACGCCAACGCCATGTTTATAGAGTAATAATAACGGAACAATATTGCTGCTGAATATCAGAGTGAAACGAATTGATTTAGTACCTAGAAACGGTAGCGACCACACACACGTGAAGCGTCCCAAACATCTCACGGAGCAACGTCATACTGCACCCAGAGACTTGAAACAAACCCTGCACCAAAGACGTGTTTATAAAAAAAGACATGCATCTATACAGATGCTAAATTCGCTCACTGTCAAAAACCTATCAAACGCCGCTGATGTGAGATTTGAAAATTCATAACCAAAAAACTAAATACCATACGTCACAGCTTACACTCAAGCCTGCGCCTGCTGACCCGCCCTGCCCAAGTCCACGCTCTTATGATATTTCTTACATGGCAAGTTCTGATGTGAGTCTTCCTCATCGTCCTCAATGTCAAACATACGCTTCAGCTCCTTGCACGCTACCATATATTGCTGTCGAGCACCGGGGCTCTCCCTGAGAGGGTTAGGGGCCTTGTCCCAGCCATGCGGCACACCAGGCACACAGTGATAATGTACGCGCTTTCCAAGATCCTTTTGTAGACGGTCACGGAATCGTTCACCTTCAGCGAGAAGCATGTCCCATTCACAGCAGAAGAGGACGATGTCGTCAGGAAGGGCCTCGAGCATGTGCTTTGGCGCCATGCCGGGGCTGAGCCATGGGTGTGCAAGATCGAGCGAGGGTGGCTGGAGGTATGAATCATCGAAGAGATCGGTAAAGACAGCGGGAAGGTTCTGGTCAACCCTTGAGCAGGTCTCTCGACGCTGCGCGCGCGTTTGTGTGTAATCGGTAGGTGGATAGAAGGATACTATGCCTCTTATCTTGAGAACAGTGTTGGACGCTTCTGTCATGACTGACACTCCCGAAGTGTCTTTATAGGAGGATACGAGTGATAGCGAGGACGCACCTGTCTGGCGGAGCATAGCAATACGATCAAGGCGAGACTTCTGGCGCACGAGCGGGACACGAGAGCCGTTGGGTGTGAGGTTCTGGCCGAAGGCGGGAGGAGGCTGGAGGCCAGCATTGGGAACGTTACCAGCGCGGTTATCGATGATCTTGGCGCCAGACGTAGTTCGATCGAAGAGCTCGCCCTGCAGACACAGGGGAACGGTAAAGCTCATGTTTCCTCCCGAGGAGAAGCCCGATATAGCGAAGCGATCGGCATCGAGCATCAATTCGTCGGCATGTTGTGCCAGCCAGAGCACCGCGTCGGCACCATCCTCGACGGCTGTAGGGAACGGGTTCTCTGGCGCAAGACGATAATCGACGCTGACGACGACGGCTCCGACCTCGTCGACGACAACTCCACACCAGCGCGCATCGTCGTGCGCGGTGCCCAGAACGAAACCGCCTCCGTGGAAGTTGATAACAACAGAGTATCTCTTAGTACCCTTCAGCTTCTTATGCTTCTTGTATTCCTTGGGCACGTAGAAATTGAGGCGAAATTTGCCTTTCAAGGGCGAGACGGTAGCATCGATGTCTCTATGGAAGGCAGGCTTGGGTGGTCGTGGTCGGGCGAGACGATGCAGCATCATACCGATGCCCATAAGGACGCGCCAGAACTGCGCCTGGACGTGGAGCATCCATCGTGGCCGGCTGGTCTTGGACTGTGGTGGTGGGTTGTCGACTGATACCGTCATGTTGACTGTTGATGGGGACGTTGGTCGGATCACCCTAAGCGGCGCGCGCCCATCAACGAGGCCGCGGGCGATAAAAGAGTCGAAAGGGGGGCTGTGCTTGTGGCAAGCCGCGTGCGCAGGGACAGATGAGTGATGTCTAGTGTCCCGATGGTGTGGACCTAGAATTACAGCAATAGCTTGCAGTCGGGCGTGTCAAGTCTGGAGTTGTGTGGGCTCCGTCGCAAGCGTTGGGATTCTAGAATTGTGAGACCTGAGGCGCGCATTGGTCTCCGATAGGCGATGACGTATGCTAATCAGCCGCTGGCCAAGCAACACCCCATGTATGCGCCGTCGCGCTTTCACCAACTTGGACAAGCACACATTCAACATACATCGCTCGAGATCGGTTTGAACGACATGAATTCATGTCGCTCCTAGTGATATCATTATCGACTACTGTGTGTGTGTATGTGCAGCTACAGGGTGGAACCCACAGAACACAAGGGGTACAGGCCACGACCCCAAACTAAAAGCAAGCAAGCCGAGACGGGTATATGGCTGCTCAAGTCCTCAGAAAAGCGCCAGACGCTCGCCTATTGATGCTGCCAACGACCATAATGCGAATGTAAACAAGTATGAGAGAACCGTTGGCCAAGTTGAAATCAGATGTCAAAGAACGCCAGAAAGCTGTGTGTATGCAAAACATGTGAAGAAGAATCGATGGGAACGAGGGCAGGCCAAGAGGGCAATCGACGCAATCATGCATCGACAAACTCGTACTCGTCATCTTCAGGAGCCACATGTCGCTTGGGCCGTGGCGTCTCATCGTACAAGTCAAGCACCTCATACTCGTTCTTTACCAGCTTCTCCGTCTCCTTGGTCTCAAAGCGCTGGACGGCTTTCTCGAGAGCGTGGTTCAGGATCTGGCTGCCATGGCTGGGACCCCGATGGGCGTCGAACGAGTAGGCGATGTCGGCATCTGGAGCAGGTGCAGCGGACGGGTGCTCAACGTCCTCGTCAGCGGACGACTCGTCACTAGCGGAAGCCATGTCCTTGTTGAAAGCGGTGCGCGCCTTCATGGGGCCGTGGGACGATGCCCTGCATACGTTAGTTCTCCGATGATCCCTCTTGACGGGGTCGAGAGGCGACTTACTTGACGTGAGGGTACAGCTTAGCAGGACGCGGCTTGCCGTCTTCCTCCCGCCGTCCAGGGCCGAACGACTGTCCATGCGCCCACTTCGCCCTGCTGTTCTTGTCGCGGTTGAACTCCTTGGCATCGCTGCGGAGGTCGCCCGTGAAGGTCTGGGAAGTCGACATGGCGGTGTTGCGGCTTGGTTTGGTGGTCGAGGCTCTGGTGTATATTGTGACTGGCTGGTAGGGTGCAAACGGAGAGTGTGTATTGGAGCTAGCAGGTAGATTAGGTGTAATGGAGGGAGTAAACAGTGAGAAGTGATAGGCACGACAGGTATGGCAAGGTAATATGCTCGGGAAAGAGGGAGGCGCGGCGGATGACTAGCAGCTGTCTTATGAATGACTCTAAGAAGTGACTCAGGATGATGAGGTCTGATCGGGCGAGGCGAGTGGCTATGCAGGCTCTCTTATGGTAGATTACGGATTACGGCTCGTGTCCGGGCCAGGCAGTTGTTTACTTGCGCCGTCCCTATGTCGTCAAGGGCGTAGGCACCATCCCCGCCTTTGTCGTGGTTCCTGATAAGGGGAGATGTGGGAGCTCATGACCCAGCTTCTAGCTTCCGACTCGCCGAGGTCCATTTCCCGCTTTAGCCCGAAGCGCATCCGGTTTGACGCTGTTGCCCGTGATGCCATCATGGCGGTTTCAGACGGCTTGGGTGGCCAACGTGGGCGAGCTGGAGGCTGCCGTGTTCCTGGTTGGTGTCCAAGGACATGCGTGAAGCTCCCAGCTCTCAAGCTCTCAAGCGCCCCAAGCTGTGCTCCAGCTTCCGATCGCCGACCCCACATGGATCCTCCACACCCCAGACAGCAACAGTCACGGCATGCATCCCAACAATCGCAGCTTATTACATGACGCCCTTTACCACGCAGCCTTGATAAGATCCCGGACTCGGCCGCCGTGGCCGTGCACTCATTGCTAGCTTGTAACGTTAACCTGTCGTAATTGTCATGGTTGACCAAGACAGCCATTCCCAGTGCATCCTCAGGCGTATGCTTCAGCTATGTATGGTACGCGGCCTCCTCCTCATCCTCCTCGTCGCTACTTTCGACTAGACCAGCCTCGCTGGGAAGGACATCAGGAAACCAGCCGTATCTCCCAAGATCCACTGTATACTGCCCCATAGCATCCTGGCTGACCTCGACTCCTTCCCTGCGCAGCGCATCTGCTTGCTGAGCCGCTGCGCTCGGTCCTCTTTGTTCCAGTCAGCAATCGAACAGCAGCCAACAAAGCCTTGTTATGGCAACAGGAGGCGCTGACCTCGGACTGATGCCGCCTTTGGCGTTGATCACGCGCTGCCAAGGCACGTTGCGGCTATGGAACGTTGGACTCTTCTTGCTGCTATCGGTCGATGGCGAAGGCAGGTTCTTGAGACACACTCCGACTTGTCTTTGACGTCATGCGTTAGTGATATTGCGACATGATGGCAACGTCTTTTTCCATGTGTTACCTTGGACATTCGGCTACGATGAAAAGAAACATGTCAGCAAGTAGTCCTCGTCATCTGGTAATACAACGCACGCTTCCCTACTAGTCTTGCAATATGACCATAGCTAGTGACCTTGCCGGAAGGCACCTCTTGAATCGCCTCGTATACTGCCGTGTACCATAGCCAGACTTCTTCTGAGCGCTCTCCTGGTGCCATGGTGATTCGAGGTGTAGAAGTGACTGAGACCAGCTGCAAAGAGTCGAGCGGGATCTACATCTGCAGCACGCGACAACACGAGAGCACGTGATGCGGAACAGCTGCGCGCGCCAAGCTCTCAACTTTCCGTACCGAGCTTCGCGAGTGAACGTTTGCAACAACACTCGACCAACGCGCTTTGAACATGTCTGGACTCGCCGATTATCTGGCCAAGAATTATCTCACAGCAGACTCGGAAAAGAAGTCCAAGAAGCGCAAGAGGAAGAACAAGGATGCCGGACTCATCATTGACGACGACGACAGTCTGGGCTGGAAAGACAAGGCAGACGACGACGACGAGGATGCGCCAATGATAGGTATGGACATTGTAATCTCTGCACGTTGCGCAAACTTGGCTCTAACAAATTACGCTACAGTCGGTGGAGGCACACTCAAAAAGTCCAAGAAGAAGTCCAAAGGCACCAGTGCCGCAACATGGACAGCAGTGGGTGTCGCCGCGCCCTCCCACGCCGAACAACTCGCAGCCGATGCAGCTGCCGCCGACGCCATTATAGCAGGGACCGCCGCCGATCGCCAAAAAGCTGCTGAAGCCGAGGATGAAGCACCAGAGATGGTAGACACAGACGGCGTCATGAGGATGGAGTCTGGCGCAAAGGCAGGACTGCAAAGCGCCGCTGAGGTCGCGGCAGCAACGAAGAGAAAACAAGACGAGGACAAGCGCAAGGCCGAGGAGGTCGCAAAGGAATTGGGGAGCGCCGCGCAAGAAACTATTTACCGAGACGCCAGTGGTCGCATAATCAACGTCGCAATGAAGCGCGCAGAAGCGCGCAAAAAAGCCGAAGAAGAGGAGCGCATAAAGCGGGAAAAGGAGAAGGCAGCTCGCGGAGATGTACAGAACGCAGCGGCCGAGCGCAGGAAACAACAGTTACAGGATGCAAAGACAATGACCATTGCGCGGTATGCAGATGATGCAGAACTCAACGACGAGCTGAAAGAACGGGGGCACTGGAACGACCCGGCTTCAGGCTTTCTGCGCAAGAAAAAGGCTGGACGTAGTATTACCGGCAAGCCTCTGTACCAAGGACCATTCCAACCAAACCGGTACAACATCCGTCCAGGGCATCGGTGGGATGGCATCGATCGGGGAAATGGGTTCGAGAAGCAGTGGTTTGATTCGAGAAACCGCAAAGCAAATATCGAGAAGCTGGAGTACCAATGGCAGATGGACGAGTAGGCTTCTGGACCTGTTCTTAGCAAGCTCTCCAGAGCTCTTGTAGGGACATGACATGGATATTATTTGCATAGCGAGGCGTTCGGATTTATTACATATAAGACGCTGCAGGATATAGATCTATCGTCGTTTTCATGTTAGACCCTGTTACAGTCCATTGGTATCTTGTGAATCGTAAAGTGATGTTGAGTGTGCGAGTCAGTCCACGCCCTCACATGACGTCGCGACGACTTTTTGTCCCGCTCGTAAGTTCCGACATCCCACTCGCGACAACGCGCCGGTGATGCGTTCCACCCTCCATGTCCCTCTCCAAGCATGCGAAGACATACTTGGTGAATTACTCGAAATATAAACACCTCAATGCGTTCAACTCGTTCGTCGAACCGGCCGTCCTCACACGCAACGATGCCACCAGATCGAGTGTTGTCGGCGAACAAACCGCCTACAGCGTCACCGACAAGCCAATCGCGATAAAAGACAACATCTGCACGAAGCAATTGAAGACTACTGCCTCGTCTGGAATCCTCAAAGACTTTACCAGCCCATACGATGCGACAGTGGTGAAGCTGCTCCAGGATGAGGGTGCTGTGGTGGTTGGCAAGACGAACATGGACGAATTCGGCATGGGATCGCACTCGACACATTCGCATTTCGGACCGGTGAAGATGCAGAGATATGACGGAGAGGAAGCAAGTGTTGGAGGAAGCTCAGGCGGAAGTGCGCTCGCTGTCGCGACTTCGCAATGTTGGGCGTAAGTGTTTTATAGCCGACGATGATGGATTACGTGCTGAGACAATTAGTGCACTAGGTACCGATACTGGAGGCTCGGTACGGCTTCCTGCTGCGTACACGAGTGTCATTGGATTCAAGCCAAGCTACGGATTGATATCGAGATGGGGGGTGATTGCTTATGCCAACTCTCTTGATACTGTTGGAATATTTGGTAGGAACGTTGCGGGTGTGAAGCATATTTTCGGTGAGTTGATCGAGTTGCAAGCTGCCAAATCCATATTCCTGACCAAACACAGACAAGCTCAACATCCACGATGCGCGTGACCCGACTTCGGTTTCCAATACCACCCGTGCGAAATTCCGTGCAGAAAGCCGACCAACTTCACTGAGGATAGGCGTCCCTCTCGATTACAACATTGACACACTGCAACCCGCTGTCCGGAAAGCCTGGCTCCTTCGACTCAGGCACTTGTGGGATCGTGGTCATACTTTGCATCCTGTCCGGCTGCCAACAACACAGCAAGCGCTATCAGCTTACTACGTCCTTGCACCAGCCGAGGCATCTAGCAATCTTGCAAAGTATGATGGAGTACGTTTCGGAAGTAGAGCACCAGGCATCGATGGAACACCAGACAGTGTCCTTTTTGCTAAGACTCGAGGTCAAGGTTTCGGTCCTGAAGTTCAGCGACGCATATTGCTTGGGGCTTTCTCACTCAGCGCTCAGGCCATGGACAACTATTTCATACAAGCGCAAAAGGTTCGCAGACTTGTACAGCAAGACTTTAACCGAGTGTTTGCGTTACCAAACCCACTATTCGATTCCGAGGTACCTTTGTCAAAAACTGAGGGTGTGGACGTGATTATATGCCCTACGGCACCATCAACGGCGCCGTCATTGGCTGAAGTCAAGACACAGGACCCGTTGCACTCTTATATGAACGATGTCTTCACCGTTCCAGCTAGTCTTGCCGGACTACCAGCAATCACGCTTCCGACAGCCGCACCCTACAACGAGGAAAAGTCAGAGAATTCAAAATCTCCTGACCCTTTCTTCAACACCATAGGACTGCAAATCATTGGCCAGTATGGAGACGACCAACTCGTTCTCGATACTGCCAAAATACTAGAGGAAATCACATCTACTCCGCAGAACCGTACCGGGCCTGAAGTGGATGCGTGGGGCAGCGGGGCCAAGTCGGATACATAAAAAGAACAAGCTGAGTAGCTTATGAATAAGTTCGTAAAGGTGCTAGAGCCATGCCGTCTTGCTGTTGCTGCCCTATGCAAAACGGGTCTGACAGCGTTTGTAAATACTTTTGTTGGTGAAAAATATCCACTCGCTGCTGAGAGGAAATGCTTCGACACAGCTTCTGATATCCGAGAGACACAAGGTGGCAGATTGAGTAGTGACCCTATAGTCTGATGATTGAATGGATCCATGTGCTGCCAAAGGGTTGAAAGAGTCAGCAGAGTGCATGTAAATTGTCATTACGCTTGTACATGTAAATCTTGTCGTCCGATGCAACAGCAAGTTTGTGTCGAAGTATCCAATGATTATGGCCGAGGCAGCTGCTACACTTCAGGAGAGTCTTTGAATGTCGATCTTCAACTGCACTTGTACTCAACGTTATCACAATATCGTTTCATTTATACGAGCATCGCTTCCACTAGATAACAGACTGTAGTAGGGGCAACCAGGGCAACCAGTCACACATGACTGATCCACTTGGACTATTGGGAAATGATGGCTGCTTTCTATGAACTACTAATGCAGCAGTGTGCTCAAGTGTGGGGATAAGATGTGTACATCTTGCCATGTACCTAGGTACCGCGGTAACCGCCGTCCACTTATGTGTCAAAGACATCCGGACTAGATCTCTTGCTGGGAGTATCTGTTCGCTTAGACGCTGCTTCACTTACGTGGACGATACATCTCATGATGTACTATGCCACATGCCGTTTTATCAGGGTTACCTAGGCATGTCCCCACGAAAACTACGAGGCTCCTCCCCACGTGTTGCCCACTAGCTGCATCATAGCTCGAGTGACGGACCGTCGCGATTGGCTTTTCGGTTGAGCGCTATGCATCATCATCCGATCACGCGCTTGAATTTAGTGTAAGATCTAGATTTGTAGCTGGTACGTCACATCAAATGCATTCACAAGACTTAGGAGCCGAAGATTCTAACGGTAGAAAATGTAGTTCGGGTTTCAAGATTTGAGTTATGTGCACTATAACGAAGGTTCTGGAGGGTATGTACTACAAGCTGGCACTGCCAAAGAGCGGGGAATACACCTGGGCAATATGCAGTGTAACCACCCGATTACCACGCAGCCAGTAGACGGTTGAGACGTAAGCACTCAATTAGAAGTCACTAAGCTTATCCCACGTTGACGGTGCCGTGCCCGTGCCGTTCCCTAAGGTCCAAGGCACCAGGCCAACGGGTCCTGTGAGCGATCTGCAGCATGTCTTACATGTGCAGGACGTCAACTCATACGCTAGAACATGGTAAGGAAGTGAATTCCGAGGTTGTTCTCCATGTTAGTGGTCAGATCGCAACTTGGAGTGAAGCAAAGGTACAGTGGAGCTCACTATGGTGATGCGGCTGCAGCGGCAGATAGTGCCATGCCCAATACCATCGATGGATGCTCGTATCAGCCTGACGCTGTGAGAAAGCGTCCTTGCAACCGGCCCGATCAAGTATACCGGTAGATGCGGGAATTGTGCGAGAGGCCGCCTGAAGCGGTAACTCTCAACATCCAACACACCCAGTGTGGTGAGCCATGCCACCCTTCGCCGGTGAAGCTCCACCAACCAAGTGTCGCTTCCCTCTATCCCGTTTGTTTTGTATGGTCGACGACGAGCGTAGCGCACGCTTAAATGCGGAGTTGCGGTAGACGGTCTGGGAGGGGGCCAGGAGGCAAGTAGTAGCAAGTCGATATGTCACTCTTCATCTGACCCCACCGCCATGGCCAGAGTCGCGCATGATCAAAGGGCTTGGTATCCACCGCCGCGTGGGTAAGTAACCTGTTGGGCGTCGCGAGCTGGCGACCAGCCGGTCTATATAAGTGTCTTGCCCTCAGCACCTTGATGGCTCATCACGCTCATCACTTTCACAATCTAACCATCCAAACCAACCAAACAACCAATCACCATCATCAAAATGGCTCCCTGGTACGTCTTGCAACCAATCTTTGGTGTTTGGCACATACTGGTGTGCACCAAGGTCGCTGCATCAGGGCTAGCGCCAGCACCGTGATGGACACTTTACTTGGAAGATGGAGGGGCTCTGGCTAACGGATTGAAACAGCAACTGCTCTACCTGCAAGTGCGCTGGTGACTGCTCCAGCTGCGGATGCGGATCCTGCTCCGTAAGTATATCCTACGATGCATCGATACAGTGTTTCTACCTATCTACTCGAATTGGCACTAACGTTGGGAAATAGCACTAAGCGTCAAACTACCCTGAATCTCGAATCTCTTCCAACAATAACACACCCATGGAGCGATTTGGACATGGAGCAATAGCATTGTTGGAGGTCGGGGTGAACTGCCAATGTTAGGGTTACGACTGCTAGAAGTATCAGATGAGATATGACTATAAATCAATCATCATTCACTACAAGATTTGACCTTTGTACTGTGTTGTATATGTCTGAATGAGCTTGCTTGAGATTTTGGCAGGATAGGTAACTAAAGATATTGATATTGCTTTATTGCAGATGATTGAAGAAAGACATAGAAAAGACACTACCACTTTAGCAAACCGTCCACCAGGGCATCACTCGAATCTTCTGAACGAGCATTAGAATCATGGAAGAAACCATTTGTATTAGCGTGCAAAAGCCCCAAAATAGAGAAAGGACTCAAACAATACAGGTAGGAAGGCAATAATACATATACAGTGTCAAGGGTGCTTCAAGCGCACCACTACCTCAAATATCAAGATGTTGACGAATGTCATCACCAAGCCTCCACTCCTCATCCCTAGCCATGCGGTCAAGAGGGCTTTGCACATCGTCTTCATCACTTCTACGTGTACCAGTCGTACCCGCGTCGCTAACGACTGTAGCACCGCTGACACTACCGCTTGTGCTCTTGCTTCGCCTCTTCTTGAACCAACTCCTTTTGCTCTTTGTACTCGCTGCATCTGTATCAGAAGCTATCGACGCAGCATACTCGCGTCCGTCACCCTCGACTAGAGTAGGATCAGTGCTGGATGCTACACTGAGATTGGAGGAGAGCTTTGTGAGATGGTTAGGATCAAGATCTCCGGAGGTATCGATAGGACCGGGTTTAGGAGTGGGCATAGGAGTGGTATCTGTGGAAGAGGTGGATTCGACGAGCTCGGCGTCGCGATACCATTTCCGACGCCGAGTGTAACGTCCCCAGCCGTCTTGGCCTCTTCGTCCATCTCTCCACTATTCCAGTTAGTATCAACACAATACGAGGACAGTTTCCTAAACGTACCTTGTTATCATAGTATATCCACGCCGAGTCCTCTTTAGACACCCCTTTCTCGGCCTTGGAATCTTTCTCCGCGCCTTCGACCTTCCACTCACTGCCTTGCACCCACCGCCATCTTGACTGACCTCCTTCAACTTCAGGCAATTCGAAGTGTTCTTTTGGTGGAACAGGGTTCAAGTGCTCATCCGTCCAGGAGGCTCGCTCGTAAGCAAGCATAGAGGATGTCCATCCAATACCCAGCCACCTTCGCTGGTTCTCGTAGATGGAAAAGGTAAAGCGCACACCCGTAGATTCGGGCCGGCGCTTAGCTGCCAGTGAGGCTGCGACCTCCTGTGTGCTCTTCTTTCGAGGGGGCAGAGGAGGCGCACCCTTTCTGTCTACGGATACAATCTCGCCAAAGTCCAGGCCGGTGATAAAAGCGCACGTGCGTCGTACTGTCCTCGACCTCCAAAGTAAGGTGCGGGTTACGCGAGCGGGTCGTGAGTGCCAACTTAGCATTACTGTGCCTACTGCCAGCACGACTCGCTTTGTAGTCAGGATATAAAACGGCGGTAGAGTGAGCGCTATCCATAGTGGTAATACAAAAAGAATGCGGATGAATAGCACAGTGAGAGCTGGCCGTGTAGTAGCCGAGGTCGCCGTCCTCTGTGTGGACAGGAAGTCTGTGAGGCGCAGAAAGGGATCCAGTAGGATGTTGCAGCGTGAAGTGAAGAGCTTCAGACTATCCACAATCTCCTCCAAGCTCTTGTGGTGCTTGATGTTGGTGTCCGACTCGACCCGCTTGTGCGCCTTCTGTCCCTTCTCGCCTGTCCACCCCGTCGACGACAGTGGCGAGTATCTGCGCGTGTACATGCCCAGTATCAGGCCAGAGACTACTATGATGGGCCCTGCATATCTTGTCACGGCATCACCATACAGGACTACAGCCCAAAAGGTCGCGACTAGGAGAAAGCTCTCCCATGGATCTCCGGTTGTCCATGTTACCAGGCCCGCAAACTTGTTCAGAGGTAGTATGAAGGGATGCGAATATGCGAGCACGCGAGTAATCTGCGGCGGAGTGGCGGCGAGCAGTGGAGATTTCTGGTGTACGAGTATAGCGGATCGCAGTTTTGTTTGCGGTGTCGTCTGGCCTAGGTTGGCGGGGGAGAAGGACGCGTATGTTGGATTCTGGGGATCACCGGCCGGCTGCGGGGACGACGCATCGTTGCTGGACTTGGAAGAGGTGGACATGTGCACAATCCAGGGTGTATCTAGGTGGATATCAGCATGTTGTCGGCGCAACTGGGTTTCCACGAACGTTGTTGCGGGTTTGGAAGTTACCAACCTAGTGCTGCCATGCATGGAGATGTGCGTCATCGCCTGGCTGCGCAGACGAGGCTGAGTGCCGTGCTCGTGTCCAGCCACGCTCCGTGTGTATACTGGAAGGGCGGCTTCTAACAATGCAAACTTGGAGCTCAAGGGAAGTAACAAAGTGTCATGTAAGGCTGCACATGATGCTGCCGCCGGAAACGATGCGGGGGATCTTTGAGCATGTGAATGTCTTAGTCCGAGGGCGACTTGCGGAAGCCTCATGGCAGCCCATCCCGGGACAATTTCCACAAGAGCACGAATGGAAAGCGCGTACTGGGGACGCATTACTCCCACTTGCATCATCATCCGTACTGCACAACCACAGCCACGGTCAAGCGCACAGAGATGCTTGCGGAGATGGCAGTTTGCGATCGTGTCGTGATTGGTCGACATTGCAGGCATCACGTGCCGGCTGCGGAGGCACCTGGGCAGGCCGAAAGCGCGGAAGGCGACCCAGAATTTTTGGACATGCCCTCATTGACGACAGCGCCCGCCCACCCACGATAGACAGGAGCCACTCACACACAGCTTTTGATTGCAAGTGGACATCGCGCACTCACTCTGCAACTCTTCTCTTCCCACAATGGTATGTTCCTGATCTCTGTCACACCATCTTTGACTAACGTCTACAGGCCCATCGCATAATAACACAAGTCGTCTTCTCCGGCGCTCGAATAATAGGCCGTGCCGTCTCCGAATCCTATCGTCAAGCCGCCGCTTCACAGAAATACGCAGCCGCCAGTCAAAATGGTGGAGGCAGTGGTGGCGCCTTTTCGTCCTCCAACATCACTATGGACGAGGCCTGTCAAATCCTCAACGTCGGTCCCGGAAAGATGGGCAACATCGAGATAGAGGCCGTCACAGAGCGTTTCAAGAGGCTTTTTGATCTGAACGATCCGAAGAAGGGCGGAAGTTTTTACCTGCAGAGCAAAATATTGAGGGCGCGAGAGAGGATCGAGAGGGAGGTGCAAGGACACCAACGGGTGGCGGAAAGGGAAAAGGAATTAAGAGAGGGGTTCAAGCCAAAGTTCACAAAGGATGAATGAGGTTACTCGGAAGCTGGCTACACGTCTTCTCGACTAGTCGACATCGAGGGCGAAGCCTACCGGCGATCCGTCACAAAATACACGGAATGATGAAGGAACATAATGTTGCATTTGGGGCGTTGGGCATAGCGTTTGAGCCTTGTATATTCTATGGGTACAGTAAGCGATGGCGCTTCGACGTTGAGAGTGTGGTCGGATAGGCATGAGTATGCTTCAGTCTCTCCACTCTCTTGTGTATTTTATTTCTTCCCCAGTGTTCCTATACTGTACTATCGACGCAGCTACGTCCTAGCAATCAACCCAAGGTTACTACCGCGTACCACTGAAACTCTTGTAATTTCACTGACTTTGGGCAAGTCCGTCAAGAGACTCTGTGTACAGACCATGTAGCATGGCAGATGTGAAAGGCGCTAGGGCACCAGCGATGTTAACGGATACTGTCTTGGACTGGCTTCACGCACCGACCGGTTGGAGGCAAGTTAGAGTGAACACCGGGGTTGGGTCGCGCTCACCCCACAAACCCACGGGCCGCGCTAGAGTCTTGGCTTACTCGCATTATGTTTCGACAAATCTTTCGCGCCCAAGAACCTTGGTTCATTTCGCATCACACCGCTATCGATCATCCGCCCACAACAAACCAACTCATCCATTGCGCGCGACAACCCCACCCCACTGCAAACGCGACTCAACATGGGAGACTCGTATCGCCCAGCGCGGCGCCCGCCACCGCTTGTAGACCGTATGACCTTCACTGGCAATGATCGCGACAACTATCGACCAGGCGGCGCGCGCAACGGCAACCAGCCCCAATTCACTTTCGAGTCTAGCCATCCTGCCCCCCGCTTTCCGCCTGCTGGAGACTCCAATGTACCGCGTGGCCCTGCGTCATCAAGAAGGCGCGGCCGTGGTGGGGCCTCGCGAGGCTCGTCTCGTGCGGATGGCAGGAACAACGCAAACGGCTACCGTCGGGGCGGTTTCAAGAAGGCCGCCCCTCATGAGCGCGCCCTTCTTAAACACCAAGACGAGGGTAGTCCGGAGCGCGCACTGGGTGTCGGAGACGGTCCTAACCGGTTTCTCAACCCGGATGACCTGTCTGATGACGAAGAAGCAGATATGTCAGTAGAGAGTGGCGACTCTGCCGATGAAGATCGCGAAGGTGGTGCGCGGGAGCCCAAGGCAGCCCGGACGCAAACCAAGCGTGCTGATGGCGACTCTGTTCCTAAGTGGTCCAACCCTGACCCGTACACTGCCTTGCCGCCTCCCGATGAGACCACAGGCAAGAGAACCGACTTTGTCAAGTTGATTCGAAAAGCAAAGAACGAAGAGGCAGAGAAGACTGCCGGACACAACTCAGTTGTTGCCAACGACGACTTCATCTCGTTTGGTGACGATGATGACGACAATGATCCTGATACTGTTCAAGGCTCCTTGAGCGAAATCGCACACATTGACAGCATTGTTAATAGGCAACAAGCTGCGCTAGCCGAACATCGGGCACCTCGTCCCGCGAGGAATAACAACAAGCGCAAAGTCACCATGAGCGGTGTAGTAGATGAATGGTTGCCCGTCCCTAACATCAATCCAACGCCGTGGCTGCCCTCACGCGACCCTTACGCACATCTTGCTACCGAACCCGAGAAGTGGTAAGTTCTTTGTATACCTGCAGCTAGATTTCTAGCAGAGGTTCGCAATGCCAGTTAGATCCTGGGACTTTGCACAAGAACCTTTAGACTTTACAATGCGATCTTTGTACTAACGCGATGCTAGGCTTCACAACGAGATTCTCGACTTCTATGACTTCGTCGCGCCCAAGCCCTTCGAGCACGAACAGCGTAATAGGCTGGTCAACCGTGTCAACAGCGCCATGGGCCAACGCAGGTTTCCTCAAGAGAACGGACGCATCTTGTGTTTCGGTTCCTTCCCTGCAGGTCTCTACTTGCCCACAGCCGATATGGATTTGGTATATGTCTCCGATAGGCATTACAACGGTGGAGAGGCCGTCGTGGACATGTCTGGGAGGAACGCCAACAAGAGTCTGCTTTACAAGGCAGCCAGGAGGCTTAAAGACACCAAATTGGCCGCCAATGGCCATGCTCAGGTCATTCCTGCGCGTGTTCCCATTATCAAGTTCGAAGACGCTCTCACGGGGCTTCAAGTTGACATCTCTTTCGAGAATTTGAGCGGAGTGCAAGCGCAAGCCACATTCGCACAGTGGAAGCAACAGTATCCGGACATGATATATATGGTAGCACTCATGAAGCAGTTCCTTGTTATGCATGGACTGAACGAAGTTCATACTGGCGGAATTGGAGGGTACAGTATCATTTGCTTAATTGTCAGCTATATTCAGCATTCCCCTAAACCGGACAACCTCGGAGAATGTTTCCTAGGATTCCTAAGGTACTACGGCGATTTTGATTTGGCCCGGAAACGCATCCAGATGCATCCGCCAGCGATCATTGAAAAGGTAAGCATTCGCATGTCGATACCAAACAAGTTTGGTTAAGTTCATACAGCTGACAATCTCAGACCAACTATGGCATTGATGGCCGCCCAGAGAGGTACGACGGTCTTTCCATCCAGGATCCTAACCGTCCCGAAAACAACATCTCTGGTGGATCCCACAAGGTTCAGCTTGCATTTGATGCCTTCAAAGAAGCGTACCTCACCCTCGAAGACCGCATGCAGGCCGCCCGCTCTGGACAGAACATCGGGCCCAGCATTCTAGAATGTGTCTTTGGCGGTAACTACGAAACATACACAAAGCAACGAGACCACATGAGGAAACTCAAGTGAGTTGTGTTGTACTAGATTTGGAGCAGGCGCTACATATTTTCGTATGTACGCTGCTGGGATATAGCCTTCGTCCCTCTCATGAGCCCTTTTGGACTCCCATGATACTTCCCAGACTAGACTTACTTCCTCCTTGGCCAAAACTGGACCAGGACACCTCTTAACAAGGACATCGATGACGCCCAAACTTGGAATGACGAATGGGCACGAGTCATGTGGAAGAAGGTCCAGGCGCAGTTGAACGGAATGGTAATTGCAGCTTAACGGGCCAGCAGGGATGTCGAGTATCAGAAGAGTATGGCGTAAGGCGTCGTTATGGGTAGGCGAGTACGAATGCTTCGGCAGGGTCTACTCACGATGCGAACAGACTAGGGCGGCATGAATGTTTCAACCATCGCACGATACCCAATTCACGGCGCTATAGGCGTTTGGCAGCTATCTACGTACACTATCTGGACGGACGCCTCATCGACCGGAACAGGCCTCGCACACACCATGTTGATCCCACAGATCTCGACGCGGCGACACGAGTCCTCCCCGCCACCGATGTTGTTTCCTGTCTGGTCCTAATTGATCAAACGACACGAGATGTACAGTCTCTATATGTTTCCTATGATCCCTTTTCTTTGTACCGTAGACGTTCCATGATAAAATCTGTTCTCTTTTTTTTTCGCTGTTCTTTCGCTTGCTCTTATGAGCACCAAGATGATACTAATGATACGCTAAACGCGGACAACTATATCTAGCACATACTCCTGCTATTGTAACGCCGAATCGGAAGCCTGGTCTGATCAAAGGACGTCGCATTGCGATTTCCAACGTCAGTCCCTTCTTCAGAAATGTCGCCAGCAACAGGACGTCTTTTCTCATTGAGTAGCAGGCTTTAGGCATGCGCTTGAGGAAGAAAGATTAGTCTATTCGGATGTTCGGTCAAGGCAGATTCAGGAGCGAGCTCTTGAAAAGCATCAAGAGGTATTGGTAACTCTCCATCAGTTGGTCTGCGTTAGCATAGGCACGAGATCAAGGGCCAAAGCTCGCTGCATAATAGGTACCATATTATTGCCAGTCGTCTTTGTATACTGTCATCGACTGGTAGTTTTCCAAAGCAAGATTTTACACAAGACAACGCCAGGCTAACAATGCTAAAGTTAACACAATAAAAGTCTCAAAGGATTACCACTCTTGTTACTCCCCATCACACGCCGACTACACCGCACCGCCCGGGCAGCGATTGACAATCAGACTGTTGTCAACCTTCACAACTCCTTCTTCGTCTCCACAATAGTCTCATTCTGCGCCCTGCTGATGAGATCCTTGGCGACCGCCGCACTCTCTCTCCAGCTCCTCTGGCGCTGCCAGAACCTAATGACTGGAGTAGTTTCTCTAAGACTACCCTGCCTAGCTTCTTCTTCGAGACTCTTCCTAGTAATCTCGCCACCCTTGTCACTCAACTTGGGAATATTCTGCAGCTGGCTGAGATTCTCCTCAAAGTATTGCTTGCGCACCAGGAAGCGTTCACGGCGTTCCTTCTGTAGGCCTGGGGAATCGAGTTTGGACAGCACGATGCGAACGCCCCAGCGGAAGAGGATGAAAAGATGTTCAGAAAAGAAGACAGTCAGAAGGAGGGCCCAGAGCTGAATGTTGGAAGGACTGCCGCTGGGACCAGTGCGGTCATTCCAAAACATGTAGACAAGAGCGGACGTAGTGAGACTGCCCATCCAAGTAAGGAAGGAGAGGGAGTCGAGCCAAGGCCCGATTGTATCAGCGCGCCATGGAGTGGGTCGTCGCATCTCAACACAGATCTTCATAGCGTCGGCACGAAGCTCGATCCAGTTGTTGATCAAAAAGGACACAGCGGTAAGTGGCCAAACCACTGAGAAGAGTGACAGGTAGCCAAATTGCACAACCATCTCACGAAGATCGGCGGTGACATCGTAAGAATCCAGTTCTGCTTCCTTGCGGACACGATCAAGGAAGGCAGCGTCCTCAGCAGGGTCATTCTCGGCGGTGGCCGGTGCGGAACCGCCGTTCCTTGCAGCTCTGTCAGACTGCATCTCCTTGTATTTGGCAAGGCCACGACGCTTGAGGTACGGAACGATAAGCTCCATGCCAAGGTTGACGAGTTGGGCGGTGACTGTGAAGTATATGACTTGCTTGCGGAGGCGATCGGGGTTGATGCTCCAGCTGGAACTTGTCGAGTTGAGGTGCAGTTGCTTCTCGTCCTCAGCGAAGGGCCGGACAGCAACGTTGAAAACGTCAAGGTAGGGTACAATAACCTTGCCAAATGGTACGTAGACAAAGGCAGTCAGGAAGATTCCCAAGTAAGACATGATGAAGTTCATGACGAAGATCTTCTGGGTCAATGCCTTGTCGTATGCCTGCGACGTCTCATAGTTCTCGAATTGGGTCAAACGGGTAGCAGCCTGGGTCAGGATAGTATTTAGAATAGGATTGACGGTTGTGAGAATGCCAGTAGGGATGAAGACCTTGTAGGGTTAGTCAAGCCATACGCTGCAGATCGGATTCAACACTCACGAGAACGCTCTTTAGCGGGCCGTTGTAGACTTCAGAGATGAAGACCTCTATACCAAAGCAGGTCGCAATGACGGCTCCAAGCGAGCAAGCGGCAATTATGGCGAATGGAATCTGCAGCAGTTGCCTCTGGAAGCGCTTGGATGCTGGGAAGAAACCGACTTGTTCGCCCGTGACTGGGTCGGTGATTGTTTTTTCAGGTTCAAAGTCTTTTTTCCTGACGTCGATTTTGGAAACACCCTTGACGCCCCAGCGAACGCTCAGGTCGACTTCCTGGTGTTTCCAGTATTCGGTGAAGACGGTGCACCACAGGGCGCTCGCAAGACCGTAGATGGGCGAGAAGGAGCCGAAGAAGAGCCATGAGAAGAAACCGAAGGCGGCAGCGGGGATGAGGAAGGTGAAGTAGGACTGTGTAAAGGCGAAATAGAAGGCAATCTGACCATGTTAGTTTACCACGACACGAGACAGTATCTTGGAAGCTTACCTTCTCTCCCAGCCGGTTTCTGATGTCGTCCAAATCTTCCGTCGTCAGGATGTACTGCGAGGTCCACTTCTTAATCCAATCCTTGTTGTAGGCATGGTCGTGCAGCGCAAAGACGGACTCGACGTTCTCCCATTCTCCCTCTTTGGGTGTTATACCAGCCCCACCTTCAGAGGGAGGGTTGGTGATGAGCTGGTATATGATGCGCAGTCTCTCGGCCTCGTAGAGGGGCTCGGCTTCGAGCGATTCGCGGGTAACCTTCTCGGGGGCAGCCGTTCGAACGCCGTGGATCCAGTCGCGGACTCTGTTGGCAATTAGTAAGCGGCTTTATAGGTGGTATGAAGTCTTGAGTACCTGGACCTGTATACTTCACCGAACAAGTGCTCGTCTGAAGCTACTCGCACGAAGAGGAGTATTGAGTGCGACTCTCCATTGCGGACCTCGGTCTGCAGCCCAACGTTGGCCAGAGCCTCGCAGAGCTTCTCAAACTGCGCGATGGCCTTCGCCTTGTCTGCGCGCCTGTTAGCATATCTATCCTGAACCCCGCGTTGGCACACCCATACCAGTCTTCGCAAAGCGGTAGCTAATCACGTAGTCGACGTCCAGGTTGCTCTGCAGCGCCTTTGATTTGGCCATGTCCGACGACGAGCCCGAGGTGAGCAGGGCAATTTTGATGCGGTAAATAGACCAGGAGAAATTGGTGAAGTAGGGAATGGCAGCTTCGGCGCTTGTCCCCTCTTTCTGGGTCGACATGCCCAGAAATGTTGTAATCGGGGTTCAGGCCAAGCTACCGGGAAGCCAAAACGTCATCGTCGCGAAGATCCCGCCTACGCCATCCCTGCACCACATCGCTCAATCTTGTACAAGACACGCGCAAACAGGAAACAAGTCTCTGAGCCCATGCGTGTCATATACAACTACGTACAGGCCTAGATAAGTCTCACCCTCTTCCTTCTCAGCTCACGGGACATGATCGGCCCAACGTCTTTAATATGAAAACACCCCACCCTTTCCGCCGTGACCGAGTCCTTCCACTTCACGGCCAGGAGTAACCCTTTGCTGCGCCCATCGTGAGAGAAGCAGCCAAGCAGTAGGAAAGACCAGAGACCCCGAATAATGTTCGTATATAATTCCTTTCGGACAAACAAAGACTCGCTGGGAAACATCTTTTTCAATTTTTGCTCCTTGCCCATGTCCCACTGGGTGGATTCAAACATGGGCTCATTGGACCCGGGAAAATCCTGTACAGTCACCAAATCAACGTCAAAGTGAATGACGGATACGGTGTCGAGAAATGCTCTGGAGAGCTCCTCGTAAATCGAGTGTGTGTTTGCAGACACGCTCTCCGACTCTAGACGTGCGTTTCGTGCCAACGGTGTAAAAGTTCCTGGAACATCGAATGGATTGGCCATATCACCTATCCAGCCCGTCCAAGACCAGGATGGAAACCCTTGCCTCCGCCTACACATGCTAGGAAGGAGCAGTTGCCACCCCAATGAACGAAAAAAGTACTCTTCTTTGAGGCCGGCATCTTCCATTGTTCCTGGTAAGTATGGCAGGCCAGCGATATGGTAGAGCAAGGGCTGTATTTCTGACAAGTACCTGAATGTAGGTATACGAAGTCAGTGCATGTCTCGCAAAAGCCTCGTGAAGGGATATTGCGTACTCAATCGCCCCAAAGAAAGCATTCAGTGTGTCTGAATCGTGGCTCAGTTTACGTGTGGTGTATTGCGCAACTAAACGCATGAAATTCTGATGTTGATGAAAAATACTTTCAGGATACGGCGCAGTCGAAGTACAGTGGACGGAACCGACCGGAGATAACTTCGTGCTCCAATCATCCCATGTGACACCATTGGGGTCTTTAATGTGCTCAACGCCGCCAATCGACTCCGTCCACGACGCGGTATCGCAATAAAAGGACATCTCAAAATCGGTGAAAACAAGGAGCCTTTTTGACATCAGGCTTTCCTGGAACGTCCAGCCGCGTTCCATCCATACTGAACTTCGGAGTCTCGTAAAGGCATCCCTTGATGACAAACAAGCAATGTTTCTGTTGTCGATAGAGAAGACTTTGTACTGCGATTGGCGGTCACAATTGACTCCAGGCAAACCGCTGTGCTTACTGGAACCAGTGGCGACAATTGTGAATTCTGCGTACCGATAAATCTTGTCCATGTTGCGTATCTGGTCAGCCTTATGTATATTGTTGTTTTGCTCGATGCAATATGCGTCACACCACAAGTAACGAAACCCAAGGTCAACAGTAACAGTCATGGCGTCTGCTACTGTTCTGGGAATGCAGGATGGCCACGAGTATCGTTCGACATTTTTCTTCTGGTTAGTCGACGCCGAAACATCATTCGGGCCCCAAACATAACTCAATGCAACCCAACGTGAGCTTGGGTCAGCTTTGACAATCTTCTTCTCGTAGCAATCCATCAGTCGCATCTGACTCGGGATTTGTTTCCCAGTGCGACAGCGTTTATGGTAATGTAAACAGTTTTCGACCCAGATTTTTGCGCGACGGTAATCATAACGTTCCGGGACCCGCTGACCTCTGAAGATACTGGGACTTCCTTGCAGGATGGTAGGACCCATGCGATAGTCCCCCTCTTGTGTAGGCCTCAGCAATTTTTCCCATGGATGGTTCTTGGGAACTCGCACCATATTAAAAGCGTCGGGCACCCAGCTATTCCTTGCGTTGAGGTGAACTGTGCTCAAGACGCTACACAGATCACAGCCAGGTTTGTATGGTAAGCCCCGACGAACTACCATCAGTGTAACTCCATTAGCGTAGTGCTTTGTTTCCTCACTAGGTACGACTAGACTGTCGCGTGGAAGGTCAATGAATTTGATAGAACGACATGATGCGCATGTTATGGGTTGTTGACGCTCGGTAAGCCCACCCCCTTGTAACTCGCCCCCGCTGCTTCCCATCTTTACCATGGGCAGCATGCTCAAGCGGTGCGAGCAATAGAAGTTGTAGGCACCATCCATGGTGGTAAGGCACTGCGAAAATGGAGATATAGAGCTTTTTAAAAGGCACTCTACTCCAAGAGAATTCATCAGGCCCACGAGACGTGATATGCAAGACAGTGGCACAGTCTGAGGGGTTCACGTCCCACATGAGCTTCATGGCCAATCACATATGGGTTGGAAGAATGACACGATTGATAGTCTTACCAAATTGGCTTTTCGTTTCTCTACTAGACTAAACATATCAAGGATACCAGCTTGTCTAGCTATGTCAACCACCTACGCCTCCACAATCGACATCCACAAGCCATGTACTCCAACTGCAACAAGCGACTGCAAATACCGGTCAGGCATACTGTAGCCTTGTACTGCATGTAGAAAGGCATGAACGTGATTTGCTCTTTCGGCCAGAAAGGCTTGAGACCAATCAAACAATTTGTTACTGTCTACCTAGGCAGATCTTTTCTTTGACTTCGTATGTTGACAATTCCAACGTACCGCGTGTCCTAGGAACTTATGAAGTCAAGTTCTCTTGTATTAGTTTATCGAACGTGCTAGCACTCGTCTGTTGGTTTGTGGGGCGTGTTGTACATAGCGTAGCGTTATGGTGCGTCTTCTGTATATGCATACTACCAGTGAAGTGTGCTGCATACAAATCTTAACCATGCTTACAACTCGGAATCTCACTGTATTGTAGCAAGAGAGGCGACAGTATGCCCTAATTATGGGTTTGACCAGAGAGACGTGTTCCACTCTGCTTCTGCAGAGCTAGCTGCACCAAGTGGCATATACAATACTATAATATAGACTGATAGCCACGACTCTTCGTCCTACTGGTTTGACACTTATAGTGTCCTATGGCATTGTTTACGGTTTCGGAAGTATAGTATCATTTCTCGACGCAATCGGTAGATATAAGCGAGTCTGCCTTGTAAGGCATCATCAGACAGACTTCAGGCCTTTAGGCACTCATGCATAAAGACTATTCCTCTCCCGGTCCTCAGAGAACAACACTGACATAGAGCCTACTCAATGAGTGGGCTCTGTGATCATCACTGCATAACAACATTTGATCAACGAGCGGAATTGAATTCATAGAGTGAGGCTTTTTTTATGAACGTATGAATATTAGGAGAAGAGATAGGAACTAGCTCTTGAAAGCACCAGTACAACAATATAGCGCCTATGGATAAAGCCAGAGAAACGCATTCAGATATCCGCCCAACCGTTCCATGCAAAGTCGTGTCATGCGGAGCAGGGGGTATCATCATGCGTATGCAGAAGCCACCTGCAAAGTAAGGACATCGAACCACCAACTCCCGCGATAACACCACCACCTACATAAAATACGTAAGAAAATCCAATCGATGCGAGGAACTGTATCTCTAAACGTATAAGATCGACGAATCTGGACAGCCCCACCATCATGGATCCATGTAGAAGCAGACCATACTGGGCTAGCTACGATGTAAGTCCTTGGAATTACGATCCCAGCGCCTGTTGACGGCTCCAAGCCTAGATGTGAGCGTGCGAAGTCAGTATATGTCTCATATGCAGTTCGTGGAGGCGCATTACTAACACTGCTTTGAGTATTCCGGCGCCAGTAAGTTCAGTATCCCCTTCACCGGTGAAAGGTATCGTATCTACCATATCCCTACGAGTCCCATTGCCGGCCTCGCGAACCAGCTCAGGTAGATCGTCATCAAGCTGCTTGAGATGATCTCGCGCACCGGGTTCCTTCCCAACTTGGAAAAACTGAACACCGACTTGCCACGCTTCTGCGAACTCCGCATTGAGCCTTACCGCTGCTGAGACAATAACAGATTCGACGTCGTCCGACGGTACACCATCGGTGATGACAATAACGTTCATGGGCTTGATAGTCTTGTCTTTCTCAAATCGCCGAATATATGACTTCAAGATCTTATTCAACCGCTGACCGGTTGGTGTACCACCGCTGGGACGCACAGTCTGGAAGATCTCGATGATGGTACTCGCTGATGTGACGTTCTTGTAAAGGCTAGAATCTGGGTGATTGAGGAAGTAGATATCGATCCCATCGGCATCCCGCTGCGTACAAATCGGTGCAATCATCTCAAGAGCCTTAGCAGTCTCCCTCCAAGAGCGACCGGCCATGGATCCTGAGTCGTCGATTAGAAAGACTGTGTCGAAAGTTCTGAGGAAGTCATAAGGATCATCGTCCAAAGGACCGTTAGCTGGAGCTGAAATTGCTACATGATCGTTCTGAGTTGGGCTTGGTGTGTAAGCTGGCGGGGCTTCGCGATTAGAACTAAAAGGATTTACATTTGAGCTGTCTGTTAGGAAGTCAGTATTTGAAGGAAACACTCGTGTTATGCCCAACAGATACGGGATGTATAGCACTTACTGGGCCTTCGTGTAGCCGGTGATGCCGATGCAAATGGATTAGTACGTGAGGGTGGTGCGAGACCATTGTCGCGGGATCCAGAGCTTCTTTTGCTGACCGGTGCAGCTGCAGGCGTACTACTCAGTGTCTGTCCAGCACCTTCTGTGTCCCACGAAATGTAATCGTTGCTTGACTTTGAAGGTTTGCGGGTTGAAAAGGTTTTCTTCAGTTTTTGATACATACTTCCGGACTTTGTGGATAGTGTATTCTGTTGACAGTAGGCAGAGGTAGTGCAATTCAGAGAGTGGGTGTTGTCGAGATACTGGAGAGCCGAAAGTGAGCCAGACATTTGAGCAAGGGCGAACGTCAGAATGAGTTCAAGAGCAAACCGTAATGACAGATGGAAGCTTGCTTAATCAGAACACCCGTGTCTTGATGTAAGAGGGAAGTTTGTTGTATGGTTCAGGTGGATCCTTATACTACTCACAACATCTACGATTTTACGGTGTGAAGACTATCAGAAGACATTTTTTTGCCCCGTGTGTGCCTTATCATCCGCCTTGAGTACCGACTCATCAGAAATGAGCAGGAGTGTATGGCATCTTCCGTTATGTGGCTCGGGTAGCTGCAACAAAAACGCCATGTGCTGCGCAGCAGCAAGCATGCACAGCCGAGCTGCTTAGATAGCGCTGATGGCTGACTGCGCAGCCACCACCCAATCACATCACGATGCTGGTCCCGCATAGCCGAGCACGTAATACTTCACGAGATGGTCCACAATCATCAACCGTTTTCTGAACGAATCATGCGCAATGGATTTAAGGAACAAACGGCGCGTGAACCACTACACTTCACCCAGGGAACTTTCTTGGTAAGTGTAACGAACACCGAGTCGACCAAGTGGGTTGGTTTTCATCTCGTTCTGGCGCTTAAGATGCAAGCGACCTTCCTTATTCCATCAGAGTTCCTAAGGCAGACACAACCTCAAGTTTGTCCACCTTTGCGATACCTCCACAGTGCTTGTAATAACTGAAAGATCTTTCGGGGTGGCACGCATGATATCTCGTAGGTACCTAGGCACTGCGCAGGATTTCAATAGATTGCGCAGAGGTTAGAACTGCCCTAGCCTGCCCTAGCGTACCAGTATCAGACGCAGGCATTCTGAGCGTAGGCCTGTGTGAGGCTCAAGAAGGTTTCAAAAGCGGCCTTGATGATGTATTGTCTCCTTGATACACGTCCCTTGAAGTCCAGTCGCGCTCCACAGCCATGAAGAGGTCCCTGACCGCCATATGCCTACTCAGGCAGCTACTGGGCGTCCTCTGGTGACTTTTACGCGGGGCTGCGTTAGCAAGAGTCCGATTGCCGGTCAAAGACTTTGGATGCGCCCACACCACTGGTCGCT